AGCCAGTGAATGCGATGCCAATCATATCCCTGCCAGACAGGCTGCAGGAGACACGGGGAGCGGGTCAGCGGGAAGAGACTCCAATGCAGTGAGGAGCCCTGCGCCAGCCCCTGCGTGTTCCCAGCCAGGGCTGTGCCCTGCCAGGGAGGAGGCGGACGGTATATCACCGGGGCAGGGTGTCCGTCTCACCCTGCTGGCCGCGCTCCCAGAGCTGGGGAAGGCAGCACTCACATGGTGGGGATGCCCTGGATCTGGATGGGAGTCGGCTGCTGGATTCCCTTTTTCTTCAGGCCCCTCAGGATAGCTGTGAACAGAATGTGCGGGGAGAGGGGTGTTAGTAGCACAAGAGTAGCCGGACATAGGGCTGTGACCCACCTCCCCTCCATCCAGTTGCCAATAGCATTTGTTTCATCAGTGCCACCTCCTCCCCTCCCCACCCCCCCAGGCCCTGCCTCCAGACTGGCAGCTTGGGGGGGGAGGGGGGAGGCCTGGTTGTGATCCCTGAATTGGATCTATGACCTCCAGGTACTACACACTAAGGTGCCTCCCCCACAACAACTCCTCCCTGCCCCAAATCACCTGCCGGGAACTTCATTTCCTTGAAGCTCTTGATGGGTGGGGGGATGCCCTCGCCCTCCACCAGGATGTGGTACTTTCTGCGCACCCGGTCGTGCCGTGCCTCCGACATGCCCAGGATGTAATGCGGTGCCTTCCAGCTGCGGAGAGGGCGGGGAGGAGGTTCAGCAAGGAACAGGAAAACCAGACTGACTGAGCTGCACTCACTGACGCACCCAGAGCTCAACACTGCTTTGCTTGGGCAGGCAGCAGGCGGACTGGCCCAGCTGTGTACTCGTTGATCCCCCAGACAGAGCCCCAAGCCCCCCAGGATTCCAGGCTCCAATGGCACTAATGCAAAAGCTGGGGCCATCCATGAAGAGGGGACAGAGCCCACCCACAGGGCCCACTTCCAGAGCAGAGTAACTGAACTGTCAGCCACCCAGCAGAATGGCCAGGTACCGTCTGGTGCTCCGGCTCCCATGTGCGCTGGGGTACAATGAAAGCAACTGCTCCACTCTGCAGCATCAACCCCTAATTCCATGGCCAAGGCTGAACATCCTTTGCTCCCAGTGAGGCTCAGGGTTCAAGTTATTGAAGAGTATTTCCCATGGCCATGTTTCTGTTATACCCCCGTGGGGCCTGGTCCCCACACAGGCCAGGGAAGGAGCTGTAGCCCTCAGCAGCCTATCTAGGCCTCAGGTGCTGCATTGCTCTCTAGGCTGCCTAGCTCGCCAGCACACGCGTCTGCCTTCCCAATTCCCCAGCTGGAGACCGGGCCCCAGCTCTCACTCCGAGTCCCCAGCCCTGCTGCTCCGACCCATGGAACTGTGCACACAGCTGAGGATGGCTGCGGAGCAAGGATCAGCTGCAAGCAGGGCCCAACAGACACAAAAACTTGTTTGTGGGTAGAGCCTAGCACAATGGGGCCCTGAGCCACAACCGAGCCCCCTGTGTGTTACCATAATACACACAGTAAACAGTACCACACCATGTAGCACCTGGCTACAGCAGAAGGGCGAATCCCAGGGCATCTTGGGAAAATGCCAGCTTTCACAGCCAAAGAACTGTGGAGTCCATGGGAACCCGAATGAACTGACTGGGGCAGGTCAGAACTCCCCGAGCTACGCTTTCAGGCTCTCTGCAGATTCAAGCAGATTCATCAGTCACACTTCAGAGATTTGCTCTGGAATCGCATGGCCTAGCTTTTTTGAAATGACAGGTCAGTGTGGAGCACAAGTACGCAGTGAGAGAGAATTCGGAGGCCATGCATCTTCAGGGCCACAACTAAGGCCCGGGGGGGAACCTCTAAAGCTGGCTCCAGCAGAGAAGGCAGGTTCCATGGCGCTGGTATGTGGGGAGATTCGGTTCCTGCTTCCTTCACTGGGGCTCCCCCTAAGGCTCAGCATTTAGCCCAAGGCTAGCAGTTTGCAGGAGCATTTGCTACCACTATGAACCAGAAGGATCCCCAGTGTGCCCTGCAGTGCAGTAAGTGACAATACCTAGCTCTTCTATAGCACTGTCAGCCAGGGACCTCACAGCCTGCTACAAAAGAAATCAGGGTCACCACCCGAATTTTACAAATGGAGAAAGTGAGGGACAGAGGAAATGGCTTGTCGAAGCACCCAGCTGCCAGTTCCAAAAATAAAACCAAGGCTCCCGATGCCCAGTCGAGGACTCAAACCACTAGTTCACACTGCCTCGAGTTTCTTTCAGCTTGCACAAAGCCGCTGTAATCCGACAGCCAATGTATTCCCATGGAGCGCACCTGGTTTTAATCGGATCGTCATAGGTGATGCCCTTTGCCATCTCCTTCACAGACATCAAAGCTGCACAAAAACAGAGACTGGAGGATCAGTGTCAGCTCTTGAGAGCTAGGCTAAGGTCAGCTGGGCACGTGGCTTTGACTAGAGGTTTAGCAGTGAGGCAGTCAGGACAAAGGACGTTTGGGGGAGCCAGAACAGGAGTGAAGTGGCAGGGAATTGTCCCTCTCTGTGCATGTGGGGCCCCGCTGGGTCAGCAACACCGAACTGCATGACTCGCTCTCTCCAGGGAGAGCAGCAGGAGCTAGGGAGAGGCTGGGACTGTTGAACCCCACACCAGTTGGCTGGGCTTCCACATGAGGACAGCATGAGCACCGTCACCTTCTCCCTCTGTCGCTTCGCCAGCAACAGGCAGGGAACGAGAGTGAATGTCACCTCACAGCCAACTCCACTTCCCCCACAGCCCTCAATCCCAGCACGACCCACCTCGACCCTCTGCCACGCTCTCCAGGATCTTTTCCTCCTCCTTCAGCTGCTTCTCCTTGGCCGACTCCTTGCGCGCTGTGGAGGGTTGAGAAAGGGAGTTATGTGCTGCCCACAGATTGCTCCCCAGCCACAAGCCACCCTAAGGGACCCCCTCCTCCTCCTGCCAACCCTACCTTCCGCCTTCTCTTTAAGGTGCTGGTGCTGGTCCAGGAGGCTGATGTTGGACTGGGGGCCCAGAGGAATATCATCTTCATCACCCCGGTGCTCACTGCTACTGTCCCGCTGCTCCTCCTCCAGCACCCCCTTCCTGCGCATCTGCAGCAGCTTCTGCAGCTGCGGGAACACAGAGCAGTCAGAGCACGCAGCAGCCGCAAGGGCCCCGTTACAGGAGACGGCGCTCACGGGCCCCGTTGTGCCCTTGCCAGCGAGGAGAGGAACGATAGTCTTGGGGGGAGGAGACCTCCCCTTTATCCACCCGCCGGGCCCCCTGCGATCTGCCCTGGGGGCCCATGATGCCGTCCCCATAACAGCCCCAGTGACCTGCCCAGGGCCACAGGGGCTCTGCTCGGGGAGTGGAATTGAACCTACCAGCCCCACCTCTTGTGGGCAGCCCCCCGGGGCCCATGCCCAGAGGCAGAGTGCTCACAAGCCGGGACTGGGGCCAGGAGCACCATGGCAAGGGGGGGGGGGGGATGACACCAGCCCCTCCCCTCCCGCCCCGCCTGGCCCTCCCCCAGCCCGGGCCCCCCACACCCAGCCCGCCCCGGCCCCCTCCCCCCACCGTCACCATCTCCTGCTTCCCCCCCACCGGCCCCGGCCCCGATCCCCGCCTGCCCCGGCCCCGATCCCCGCCCCCCACCGGCTCCGGCCCCCGCCCCCCACCGTCACCATCTCCTGCTTCCCCCCGCCGGCCCCGGCCCCCGATCCCCGCCCCCCACCGGCTCCGGCCCCCTCCCCCCACCGTCACCATCTCCTGCTTCCCCCCGCCGGCCCCGGCCCCCGCCCCCGATCCCCGCCTGCCCCGGCCCCGATCCCCGCCCCCCCCACCGGCTCCGGCCCCCGCCCCCCACCGTCACCATCTCCTGCTTCCCCCCCGCCGGCCCCGGCCCCCGATCCCGCCCCCCACCGGCTCCGGCCCCCGCCCCCCACCGTCACCATCTCCTGCTTCCCCCCGCCGGCCCCGGCCCCGATCCCCGCCCCCCACCGGCTCCGGCCCCGGCCCCCACCGTCACCATCTCCTGCTTCCCCCCGCCGGCCCCGGCCCCCGATCCCCGATCCCCGCCTGCCCCGGCCCCGATCCCCGCCCCCCACCGGCTCCGGCCCCCGCCCCCCACCGTCACCATCTCCTGCTTCCCCCCGCCGGCCCCGGCCCCCGATCCCCGCCCCCCACCGGCTCTGGCCCCCGGCCCCCGCCCCCCACCGGCTCCGGCCCCCGCCCCGCACCGTCACCATCTCCTGCTTCCCCCCACCGGCCCCGGCCCCGATCCCCGCCGCCCCCGCCCGCCCCGGCCCCCGCCGGCTCCGGCCCCCTCCCCCCACCGTCACCATCTCCTGCTTCCCCCCACCGGCCCCGGCCCCGATCCCCGCCGCCCCCCGCCCGCCCCGGCCCCCGCCGGCCCCCCCCCCCCCCACCGTCACCATCTCCTGCTTCCCCCCACCGGCCCCGGCCCCGATCCCCGCCGCCCCCCGCCCGCCCCGGCCCCCGCCGGCCCCGCCCCCGCCCCCGATCCCCGGCCCCCTCCCCCACCATCTCCTGCTTCCCCCCCGCCGGCCCCGGCCCCGATCCCCGCCGGCCCCGCCCCCCGCCTGCCCCGGCCCCGATCCCCGCCCCCCGCCGGCCCCGGCCCAGATCCCCGCCCCCCACCGGCTCTGGCCCCCGGCCCCCGCCCCCCACCGGCTCCGGCCCCCGGCCCCCGCCCCCCACCGGCTCCGGCCCCCGCCCCCCACCGTCACCATCTCCTGCTTCCCCCCCGCCGGCCCCGATCCCCGCCGTCACCATCTCCTGCTTCCGCTGCTTGACCGGCACGTAGGGCACGTATCCGTCATCCTCCTCCCCGGACGGGCCCGACCCCTCCGCCGGCTCCTCGCGCGGCCGCTGCGGGGAGACACAAGGTCACGTCACGGGCCACAGGCCGCGGCCCCCGGCCGGGCGGGGGGGGGGGGGGGACTCTCACCTTCCGGTCGCTTCCCACCTCCATGGTCCGGTCCCCGCGGACTCGCCCGCGAAACGCGCGTAGCCAACGAGCGTCGGCGCTGGGCCTGGGGCGGGCCCTGTCGCTCAGCAACGCCCCGCAGACGTACCACGTGAGGGGCGACGCGCAGGACGGGCTGCGCCGAAGGACAAACTTAGCGAGTCGCTTACGGAGGGGTCCGCGCAGGGCTCGGGGGCGGAGCAGCCCGGCCGCCGCGCGCTGGGCCCCGCCCCCTGCACCACGTGTTCCGCCCCCGCCGCAAGCCCCTGGTCTCCGCCCCCCGCTTCCCACCAGACCCCGCCCCCCGATCTCCGCCCCCCCAGACCCCGCCCCCGCCCCCGCTTCCCCCCCCGACCCTGATCTCCACCCCCCACCCCACAGCCAGCTTCCCCCCCAGACCCCAATCTCTGCCCCCCAGCCCCTGCCCCCCCCCCCCACCCCCCCCCCCGACCCCAATCTCTGCCCCCCAGACCCCACCCCCCCCCCAGCTTCCCCCCCGACCCCAATCTCTGCCCCCCAGACCCCGTCCCCAACCCCCCCCCCCCCCCCCCCCCCCCAGCTTCCCCCCCGACCCCAATCCCCGCCCCCCCCCCAGCCCCTGATCCCCCCCCCACCCCCCCCCACTCCCCCCCCCCCCCACCCCCCACCCCACAGCCAGCTTCCCCCACCCCAATCTCTGCCCCCCAGCCCCTGATCCCCACCCCCCCACCCCACAGCCAGCTTCCCCCCCGACCCCAATCTCTGCCCCCCAGCCCCTGATCCCCACCCCCACCCCACAGCCAGCTTCCCCCCAGACCCCCCCCCCAATCTCTGCCCCCCAGCCCCCGATCCCCACCCCCCCCCCACCCCACCCCCTCCCCCCCCCCCCCCCCCCCCCCAGCCCCGATCCCCACCCCCCACCCCCGCGCTCCCCCAGACCCCAATCTCTGCCCCCCCCCCCCCCCCCCCAGACCCCGATCCCCAACCCCCACCCCACAGCCAGCTTCCCCCCAGACCCCAATCTCTGCCCCCAGCCCCGATCCCCACCCCCACCCCCCCACCCCCCCAACCCCAACCCTCCCCCACCCCTGATCCCCACCCCAATCTCTGCCCCCCAGACCCCGATCCCCACCCCCCACCCCACAGCCAGCTTCCCCCCAGACCCCAATCTCTGCCCCCCAGCCCCTGATCCCCACCCCCCACCCCACACCCAGCTTCCCCCCAGACCCCGATCCCCAACCCCCCACCCCACACCCAGCTTCCCCACAGCCAGCTTCCCCCCCAGACCCCAATCTCTGCCCCCCAGACCCCGATCCCCAACCCCTCCACCCCACAGCCAGCTTCCCCCCAGACCCCAATCTCTGCCCCCCAGCCCCCCCCCCCCCCCCAGACCCCAATCCCCACCCCCACCCCACCCCAATCTCTGCCCCCAGACCCCGATCCCCAACCCCCCACCCCACAGCCAGCTTCCCCCCAGACCCCAATCTCTGCCCCCCAGCCCCTGATCCCCACCCCCCACCCCACAGCCAGCTTCCCCCCCAGACCCCGATCCCCAACCCCCCACCCCACAGCCAGCTTCCCCCAGACCCCAATCTCTGCCCCCCAGCCCCTTCCCCACCCCCCACCCCCCCCCCCCCCCCCCCCCCCCCCCCCCCCCCCCGCCAGCTTCCCCCCAGACCCCAATCTCTGCCCCCAGACCCCGATCCCCAACCCTCCACCCCACAGCCAGCTTCCCCCCAGACCCCAATCTCTGCCCCCCAGCCCCTCCATCCCCACCCCAATCTCTGCCCCCCAGACCCCGATCCCCACCCCCCACCCCACAGCCAGCTTCCCCCCAGACCCCAATCTCTGCCCCCCAGCCCCTGATCCCCACCCCCCACCCCACACCCAGCTTCCCCCCCCAGACCCCGATCCCCAACCCCCCACCCCACACCCAGCTTCCCCACAGCCAGCCCCTTCCCCCCCCAGACCCCAATCTCTGCCCCCCAGACCCCGATCCCCAACCCTCCACCCCACAGCCAGCTTCCCCCCAGACCCCAATCTCTGCCCCCCAGCCCCTGATCCCCACCCCCACCCCACCCCACCCCCCAATCTCTGCCCCCAGACCCCGATCCCCAACCCCCCACCCCACAGCCAGCTTCCCCCCAGACCCCAATCTCTGCCCCCCCAGCCCCTGATCCCCACCCCCCCCCCCCCCAACCCCCACCCCACAGCCAGCTTCCCCCAGACCCCAATCTCTGCCCCCCAGACCCCGATCCCCAACCCTCCACCCCCACAGCCAGCTTCCCCCCAGACCCCAATCTCTGCCCCCCAGCCCCCGATCCCCAGACCCCAATCTCTGCCCCCAGCCCCTGATCCCCACCCCAATCTCTGCCCCCCAGACCCCGATCCCCACCCCCCACCCCACAGCCAGCTTCCCCCCCAGACCCCAATCTCTGCCCCCCAGCCCCTGATCCCCACCCCCCACCCCACACCCAGCTCTTCCCCCCAGACCCCGATCCCCAACCCCCCACCCCACACCCAGCTTCCCCCCCAGACCCCGATCCCCAACCCCCCACCCCACCAGCCAGCTTCCCCCAGACCCCGATCCCCAACCCCCCACCCCACAGCCAGCTTCCCCCCCAGACCCCAATCTCTGCCCCCCAGCCCCTGATCCCCACCCCCCACCCCACAGCCAGCTTCCCCCCAGACCCCGATCCCCAACCCCCCACCCCACACCCCCGCCAGCTTCCCCCCCAGACCCCAATCTCTGCCCCCCAGACCCCGATCCCCAACCCCCCACCCCACAGCCAGCTTCCCCCCAGACCCCAATCTCTGCCCCCCAGCCCCTGATCCCCACCCCCCCCCCCACCCCAATCTCTGCCCCCCCCAGACCCCGATCCCCACCCCCCACCCCACAGCCAGCTTCCCCCCAGACCCCAATCTCTGCCCCCCAGCCCCTGATCCCCACCCCCACCCCACACCCAGCTTCCCCCCCAGACCCCGATCCCCAACCCCCCACCCCACACCCAGCTTCCCCAACAGCCAGCTTCCCCCCAGACCCCAATCTCTGCCCCCCAGACCCCGATCCCCAACCCTCCCCCCCCCCCCCCCCCCCAGACCCCGACCCCACCCCCACCCCCACCAGCTTCCCCCCCCCAGACCCCAATCTCTGCCCCCCAGCCCCTGATCCCCACCCCCCCCCACCCCCCCCCCCCCACCCCACACCCAGCTTCCCCCCCCCCAACCCCAATCTCTGCCCCCCAGCCCCTGATCCCCACCCCCCCCCCACCCCACCCCCCCCCCAGCCCCGCCCCCCACCCCCCACCCCACAGCCAGCTTCCCCCAGACCCCAATCTCTGCCCCCCAGACCCCGATCCCCAACCCTCCACCCCACAGCCAGCTTCCCCCCAGACCCCAATCTCTGCCCCCAGCCCCGATCCCCAACCCTCCACCCCACACCCACTCCCCCCAAACCCCGATCCCCACCCCCCACCCCACACCCAGCTTCCCCACCAGCTTCCCCCAGACCCCAATCCCCCCCCCCCCCCCCCCCCCCCCCCCCCCCCCCCCACCCCACTCTGCCCCCCACCCCATCCCCCCCCCCCCACCCCCCCCCACAGCCAGCTTCCCCCCAGACCCCAATCTCTGCCCCCCAGCCCCTGATCCCCACCCCCACCCCACACCCAGCTTCCCCCCAGACCCCGATCCCCAACCCCCCACCCCACACCCAGCTTCCCCACAGCCAGCTTCCCCCCAGACCCCAATCTCTGCCCCCCACCCCCATCCCCAACCCTCCACCCCACAGCCAGCTTCCCCCCCAGACCCCCATCCTGCCCCCCAGCCCCTGATCCCCCCCCCCATCTCTGCCCCCCAGACCCCGATCCCCACCCCCCACCCCACACCCCAATCTCTGCCCCCCAGCCCCTATCCCCACCCCCCCCCCCCCCCTCCCCCCCCCCCCCACCCCAATCTCTGCCCCCCAGACCCCGATCCCCAACCCCCCACCCCACAGCCAGCTTCCCCCCAGACCCCAATCTCTGCCCCCCACCCCCCCCACCACCCCACCCCACCCCACCCCTCCCCCCAGACCCCGATCCCCAACCCCCCACCCCACAGCCAGCTTCCCCCCAGACCCCAATCTCTGCCCCCCAGCCCCTGATCCCCACCCCCCACCCCACCCCAAACCCCTCCCCCCAGCCCCTGATCTCCACCCCCCAGACCCCAATCTCTGCCCCCCAGACCCCGATCCCCAACCCTCCACCCCACAGCCAGCTTCCCCCCCGACCCCGATCTCTGCCCCCAGATCCCCGCCCCCGCCCCAGCTTCCCCCCCAGACCCCAATCTCCGCCCCCCAGCCCCTGATCCCCACCCCGACCCCACACCCAGCTTCCCCCCCAGACCCCGATCCCCAACCCCCCACCCCACACCCAGCTTCCCCACAGCCAGCTTCCCCCCAGACCCCAATCTCTGCCCCCCAGCCCCTGATCCCCACCCCCACCCCCACCCCAATCTCTGCCCCCCAGACCCCGATCCCCACCCCCCACCCCACAGCCAGCTTCCCCCCAGACCCCAATCTCTGCCCCCCAGACCCCGATCCCCAACCCTCCACCCCACAGCCAGCTTCCCCCCCAGACCCCAATCTCTGCCCCCCAGACCCCCGATCCCCAACCCTCCACCCCACAGCCAGCTTCCCCCCCCCCCCCACCCCGATCTCTGCCCCCAGACCCCGCCCCCGCCCCAGCTTCCCTCCCCCAGACCCCAATCTCTGCCCCCCAGCCCCTGATCTCCACCCCCCAGACCCCAATCTCCGCCCACCAGACCCCGATCTCTGCACCCCCACCCCACACCCAGCTTCCCCCCCCGACCCTGATCCCCACCCCCCCACCCCACAGCCAGCTTCCCCCCCAGACCCCAATCTCTGCCCCCCACCCCCATCTCTGCCCCCCAGCCCCTGATCTCCCCCCTCAGACTCCAATCTCTGCCCCCCAGACCCTGATCTCCACCCCCCCACCCCAATCTCTGCCCCCCAGCCCATGATCCCCACCCCACCCCCAGCTTCCCCCCCCCCACCCACCCCCCACCCCAATCTCTGCCCCCCAGACCCCGATCTCTGCCACCCCCCACCCCACAGCCAGCTTCCCCCCAGACCCTGATCTCCCCCCACCCCCACCCCCCCCCACCCCACCCCAATCTCTGCCCCCCAGACCCCGATCCCCACCCCCCACCCCACAGCCAGCTTCCCCCCCAGACCCCAATCTCTGCCCCCAGACCGCGATCCCCAACCCTCCACCCCACCCCCCCCCCCCCCACCTCCCATCCCCCCCCACCCCCAATCCCTCCCCCCAGACCCCGATCCCCAACCCTCCACCCCACACCCAGCTTCCCCCCAGACCCCGATCCCCAACCCCCCACCCCACACCCAGCTTCCCCACAGCCAGCTTCCCCCCAGACCCCAATCTCTTCCCCCCAGCCCCTGATCCCCACCCCCCACCCCACCCCAATCTCTGCCCCCCAGACCCCGATCCCCAACCCCCCACCCCACAGCCAGCTTCCCCCCAGACCCCAATCTCTGCCCCCCAGCCCCTGATCCCCACCCCCACCCCACACCCAGCTTCCCCCCAGACCCCGATCCCCAACCCCCCACCCAACACCCAGCTTCCCCACAGCCAGCTTCCCCCCAGACCCCAATCTCTGCCCCCCAGACCCCGATCCCCAACCCTCCACCCCACAGCCAGCTTCCCCCCCAGACCCCAATCTCTGCCCCCCAGCCCCTGATCCCCACCCCAATCTCTGCCCCCCAGACCCCGATCCCCACCCCCCACCCCACAGCCAGCTTCCCCCCAGACCCCAATCTCTGCCCCCCAGCCCCTGATCCCCACCCCCCACCCCACCCCAATCTCTGCCCCCCAGACCCCGATCCCCAACCCCCCACCCCACAGCCAGCTTCCCCCCAGACCCCAATCTCTGCCCCCCAGCCCCCGATCCCCACCCCCACCCCACCCCAATCTCTGCCCCCAGACCCCGATCCCCAACCCCCCACCCCACAGCCAGCTTCCCCCCCAGACCCCAATCTCTGCCCCCCAGCCCCTGATCCCCACCCCCCACCCCACCCCAATCTCTGCCCCCCAGCCCCTGATCTCCACCCCCCAGACCCCAATCTCTGCCCCCCAGACCCCGATCCCCAACCCTCCACCCCACAGCCAGCTTCCCCCCGACCCCGATCTCTGCCCCCAGATCCCGCCCCCGCCCCAGCTTCCCCCCCAGACCCCAATCTCCGCCCCCCAGCCCCTGATCCCCACCCCGACCCCACACCCAGCTTCCCCCCCAGACCCCGATCCCCAACCCCCCACCCCACACCCAGCTTCCCCACAGCCAGCTTCCCCCCCAGACCCCAATCTCTGCCCCTCAGCCCCTGATCCCCACCCCCCACCCCACCCCAATCTCTGCCCCCCAGACCCCGATCCCCACCCCCCACCCCACAGCCAGCTTCCCCCCAGACCCCAATCTCTGCCCCCCAGACCCCGATCCCCAACCCTCCACCCCACAGCCAGCTTCCCCCCAGACCCCAATCTCTGCCCCCCAGACCCCGATCCCCAACCCTCCACCCCACAGCCAGCTTCCCCCCCGACCCCGATCTCTGCCCCCAGACCCCGCCCCCCGCCCCAGCTTCCCCCCCAGACCCCAATCTCTGCCCCCCAGCCCCTGATCTCCACCCCCCAGACCCCAATCTCCGCCCACCAGACCCCGATCTCTGCACCCCCACCCCACACCCAGCTTCCCCCCAGACCCTGATCTCCACCCCCCCACCCCACAGCCAGCTTCCCCCCCAGACCCCAATCTCTGCCCCCCACCCCCATCTCTGCCCCCCAGCCCCTGATCTCCACCCCTCAGACTCCAATCTCTGCCCCCCAGACCCTGATCTCCACCCCCCCACCCCAATCTCTGCCCCCCAGCCCATGATCCCCACCCCACCCCCAGCTTCCCCCAATCTCCACCCCCCACCCCAATCTCTGCCCCCCAGACCCCGATCTCTGCACCCCCACCCCACAGCCAGCTTCCCCCAGACCCTGATCTCCACCCCCCACCCCACTCCAATCTCTGCCCCCCAGCCCCTGATCCCCACCCCACCCCCAGCTTCCCCCAATCTCCACCGCCGACCCTGATCTCTGCACCCCCCCCCACAGCCAGCTTCCCCCCCCAGACCCTGATCTCCATCCCCCCACCCCACAGCCAGCTTCCCCCCAGACCCCAATCTCTGCCCCCCAGCCCCTGATCCCCACCCCCCACCCCACTCCAATCTCTGCCCCCCAGCCCCTGATCCCCACCCCACCCCCAGCTTCCCCCAATCTCCACCGCCGACCCTGATCTCTGCACCCCCCCCCACAGCCAGCTTCCCCCCCCAGACCCTGATCTCCATCCCCCCACCCCACAGCCAGCTTCCCCCCCAGACCACATTCTCTGCCCCCCACCCCCAGCTTCCCCCAAACTCCACCCCCACGCCAATCTCTGCCCCCCAGCCCCTGATCTCCACCCCCCAGACCCCAATCTCCGCCCACCAGCCCCTGATCCCCACCCCCCAGACACCAATCTCTGCCCCCCAGACCCCGATCTCTGCACCCCCACCCCACACCCAGCTTCCCCCCAGACCCCAATCTCTGCCCCCCACCCCCATCTCTGTCCCCCAGCCCCTGATCCCCACCCCCCAGACACCAATCTCCGCCCCCCAGACTCCGCCCCCGCCCCAGCTTCCCCCCCCGACCCTGATCTCCACCCCCCCACCCCACACCCAGCTTACCCACAGCCAGCTTCCCCCCAGACCCCATCTCTGCCCCCCACCCCACAGCCAGCTTCCCCCCAGACCCCAATCTCCGCCCACCAGCCCCTGATCCCCACCCCCCAGACACCAATCTCTGCCTCCCAGCCCCCGATCTCCACCCCCCCACCCCACAGCCAGCTTCCCCCCCAGACCCCAATCTCTGCCCCCCACCCCACAACCAGCTTCCCCCCAGACCCCAATCTCTGCCCCCACCCCCATCTCTGTCCCCCAGCCCCTGATCTCCATCCCCCAGACCCTAATCTCCGCCCCCCAGACCCTGATCCCCACCCCAACCCCAGCTTCCCCCAATCTCTGCTCCCCAGACCCCGATCTCTGCACCCCCCACCCCACAGCCAGCTTCCCCCCAGACCCTGATCTCCACCTCCCCCACCCCACCCCAATCTCTGCCCCCAGACCCTGATCTCTGCACCCCCTCCCCACAGCCAGCTTCCCCCCCAGACCCCAATCTCTGCCCCCCAGCCCCTGATCTCTGCACCCCCTCCCCACAGCCAGCTTCCCCCAGACCCTGATCTCCACCCCCCACCCCAATCTCTGCCCCCCAGCCCCTGATCCCCACTCCACCCCCAGCTTCCCCCAATCTCCACCCCCCACTCCAATCTCTGCCCCCCAGACTCCGATCTCTGCACCTCCACCCCGCAGCCAGCTTCCCCCCAGACCCTGATCTCCACCCCCCACCCCACTCCAATCTCTGCCCCCCAGCCCCTGATCCCCACCCCACCCC